TAAAGTATAACCAAACGTATTTAGTCAGCCACTGATTGTGCAGGTTCTCTAACATAGAAATAAAGGAGATTTGTAATTTTTATTATGGCCATCTATCAACTATGATGGACAAAATGAGGAAAAAAACCGGGAAATCACCAATTTTTTAAAAATTATTTATGATGGAAAATAAGTATTTAGTCATAAACAGCCGTTCAACTCAACACTTTGCAGCATTACCTTTTGTTGGAAGTATTTAGTCCCATTCCTCCTTACATATCTCCTTTAGAACAATGGTATTTTGGGATAGAGGGAGATTATCAGTAGTGTTTGAGGGTCAGACATCTTGCTTGTTTTTGGGTGACCGAATACTTATTTTCCACCATACTTTACAAATAAATTCTTTGAAAATCCTTCCACTGGAAAAACTATCTAAAAATTAGCAAAAATGTCTTAAATTAAGTGTATTTACTCTTAATTTTAGCAGGTAAATGAGATGATTTGCCAATGGAATGAGTATTTTTACTCTTAAAATTAGATATTCGGATAAAATACACTTGAAATAAGACAATGCAATTGTGTTTTCTTATTGTAAATGTAAATTGTCTTATTCCATTGGCAACGTGTCTCACTTACCTCCTCAATTCAAGAACAAATGCACTTATTTTAAGAAAAAATTACTTGTCTAGATTTCGATTTTTTCCAGTGTTGATGTGATTACCTGGATTTTTTTCTCCTTCTCAATTGTTTCCTTATAGTTGAAGTGCACCTATGATGAAAATTAAAGACCTCGATTTTCTAATTAGGTGAGCTTAAACAAACAGTGGATAACTAAATACTTTTTGGCAAATACGGTATGAAGTCTTTATATTTCCACAGATCCTTTGTCTCTTTCTTCCTGGAAAGTTCGTGGCTGTGAATGGGACCCCTGTTGACCCATATGCTTGCTTTTCTGATGTTGTTTGATTTGGCTTCTTTATTCTAAATAGTGACTGTTATGTTGCCTCAGGTTCGCAGCATCATGTTTATGTCTGTAGCACTTGATGTCTAATAGCACTGACACCAAACCAAAGTAGAGCCATGTAATACCGGTATATTGATAAATGGAGAGGCAGCATATATGTTGTGCTTTTCTAGTGAGTAAGCCCCACAGCACTGAACAGGGTGAACCTATTTCGTTAAGCATGTAGGAGACAAATATAATAGAGAAAACAGTTAATGACCATATCAGATAGTAACTATTTTCAGTTATTAAAGTTTTATCTTCATGTTTATGTTTGGTCTGTTTTGTTAGGACTGTCCTTACAAAAAAGGACTGCATAAACAAAAGATAAAACACAAAATCTGAATAAAAATGAACTCAAAACAATTTAAATTCTTTTAATGGAGCAAGATAGTGGTATAGTTTTGCTAGTCAAGATTTCTTAAAAATAGGAAAATAAAGCTTGATATTTCAAATATAAGTTAAGTCCTAAAAGAGAAAAGATAATTTAACACTTTTAGATGTAACTTGGTTAAAACCAAATATGCAATGTAGGTTAATTTGATAATCAAATCTGGCCTCAGGTATAAATGTGTGTAGGCGTGTGTTGTTTTTTTGTTGTTGTTGTTGCTGCATGTCTGTGTGGTGGCCCCATAATGGACCTGTTAGAGACAGATGTTAATTACAGTTTATTCTCGGCATAAAAAAGCTAATTTCATCTGACCTAGCCTCCTTTTCCATATTTACACGTGCGGACAAAACCGTGAAGCATAAATAAGGTCTTCTGTGCTAGTGGTTGCAAAGCAGGCAGGGCTTCTAATTTAACCTCTTGCTAGGTTTTATACATTACCCTACAAATGATAAAATGTGGTCCACTTGAGCAGAAATTGTAACTGTACACATCTCTGACTGTGTTTCTAAACACTGCCTGTATTATACTCAGACACAATAGCCTACTTTGTGATTCATTACTGCAAGACCAAGTGCATCCCAACTTTGATCAGTAATTTAAAAAAGGAAATTTAATCCTGTAGTCAAACAGTTTGTCTAAACAAATACTCTACTGGCATTATCAATGCAGCATTGCATGTCTGTTAACTGCTCAGGCTGAATCAGATGCAACCTCCAGCTCATCTTTTGTCTTTAATTTCCCTCCTAACAATAATCTTATAACAGTAAGGTTCTTTTTGAGCTTTAGGTCAGTCCAGCTCGCTGACAAGAAAGGTATGAACATTTTATTGAGTCAGATGTTGTTTCTTTTCGACATGTGGGCAGATGTCAAGTCCTGCTGGAAGGTAATATCAACATCTCTGTAAAGCTGTTACGTTTCCTGCTATAAGCTGCAATAACTTTGGACGTGATCAAACCATTGATAAGACACAGACCTGCACTAGAAAATTACATGACTCCAAAATCATCACTGATGTGGAAACTGGAAACCGGATTCCTTTCTCACCACTTCCCAGACCAAAAGACTTATACAGTGAGTCCAAGAAGTATTTGATCCCTTAGTGATTTTCTTCTTTTGCACACTAATAAAGATGTGATCATTCTGCACGTTTAATGGTAGATGTATTTTAACATGGAGAGACAGAATATCAAAAAGAAAATCCAGAACATAACTTTAAAGAATATATATTAATTAATTTGTATTTCATTGAAGGAAATAAGTATTTGATCCCTCTAGCCAAACACAGTCAATACTTAGTGGCAAAGCCTTTGTTAGCAAGTACAGCAGTGAGACATTTGTTGTAATTAACCACAAGTTTAGCACACACACCAGGGGGAATTTTGGCCCACTCTTCTGGGCAGATCCTCTCTAAATCAGGAAGGTTGGTGGGCTGTCGCTTGGCAACTGGGACCTTCAGCTCCCTCCATAGATTCTCAATTGGATTGAGGTCCGGAGACTGGCTGGGCCACTCCATGACCTTCATGTGATGTTTCTTGAGCCAATCCTTTGTTGCCTTTGCTGTGTGTTCCGGGTCGTTAACATGTTGGAAGACCCAACCACGTCCCATTTTCAACTTCCTGGCAGAGGGGAGGAGGTTGTCCCTCAGGATTGTACGCTACATGGCTCCATCCATCTTCCCAGTGATGCGGTGAAGTAGCCCTGTACCCTTGGCAGAGAAACACCCCCAAAACATTATGCCTCCACCTCCATGCTTGACGGTGGGCACAGTGTTCTTGGGGTCATTGGCAGCATTTTTCTTCCTCCACACATGGTGGGTAGAGTTGAGGCCAAAAAGTTCAATTTTGGTCTCGTCTGACCACAGAACCTTCTCCCAATAACTTGGTTCATCTTTCAGGTGATCATTGGCATACTTAAGGTGTGCCTCCACATGTGCCTTCTTGAGCAGGGGTACCTTTCGGGCACTGCAGGATGTTAGTCCATTGTTGTGCAAAGTGTTGCCAATTGTTTCCTTGCACACTGTGGTCCCAGCTGCCTTCAGGTATTTTACCAACTCCTGACGAGTGGTTGCAGGATTATTTCTGACCGTTCTCAGGAGCATTGTCACCCCACGAGGTGATATCTTCTTTGGAGCACCAGGCCGAGGTCTGTTGATGGTCATGTTATACTCTTTAAAATTTCTACCAATTGCACCAATAGTTGTTACTTTCACATCCAACACCTTGCTAATCTTTTTGTAGCCCATTCCAGCTTTGTGGAGGTCAACAATCCTGACTCTGAGGTCCTGAGACAGCTCTTTGGTCTTACCCATATTGGAGACTTGAAATCTGTCAGATTGTCCGATTCTGTGAACAGGTGTTTTTCACACAAGTGAGTAGTGAGAACAGGTGGCTTCAGTTCAGGTAACAGGCTGATTGGGAGTGTCTAACTGCTCTGTGAAAGGCAGAACTCCTAATGCATACTGAGGGATCAAATACTTATTTCCCTCAATGAAATACAAATTAATTAATATATATTCCTTAGATTTTTTTTCAGGATTTTCTTTTTGATATTCTGTCTCTCCATGTTAGAATACATGTACCATTATATGTGCAGAATGATCACATCTTTATTAGTGGCCAAACGAAGAAAATCAGCAAGGGATCAAATACTTCTTGGACTCACTGTATATGAATAATATAGTTTTCTTTTTTTTCCCAGCTGGAAAGACCCCCAGCAAGATGCTTTTTGAGATTCTATTACACGTGATTGGCCTAAAGAAATAATTAGGATGGTTCCAACCTGTCCTGAATTTGTCTGTCTGATTATAACTTGTAGATCTCCTCTAAACTCGTCTTTCTTTTTACAGTTATGTTAAGACTACAGCTTATTTTTTAAATTTTTTTCTACTAGACTTTTTCCCTCAACATAATTTTCTCCAATATTTATATGAACAGGAGTCTGATTAACCTGCATCTTTTTTAACCCTTTAAAGCCCGATCCAAGAATAAAACAAAACAGAAAATACATTTTTTTTGGTTTGAAGTCCTTATTTGGCCTTTTAACAAAATATGTAAAAAGAAAAAACAGAAATACATTTGTTATATTAATAATTTATTACTATGCAATAAGTCAAGATTATTTTTTGTGTAGTCTTCTGCCCTCTGTTATCAGGTATATCTGATTGTGTACAATAGGATTTTGAACAAAGTTTTTACCATTAAATTATGCAAAAGGTGTCAGACGCAAACATGTCAGAAACCGTATGTATCAAATATGATACATTTGGCATTACAGGGTTAAATTCCCTTTTGTATTTTGTAATCTGCTTGTGGATTGTGTCAGAAAAACTCTTGCATGTCAGCAGTTTTCTGCATAATTTGTGGAGCTTAACATCATAGTGTTCTGTAAATATTTTTTATTTAGCTCATATAATATTCTAGTTTTTTGATAAAATGAAGTTTGGACTCTAATTGGCTAAAAACCAGAATGATAAACATTAACAGAAAAAAAATAACTTAAAATGAATATTTCTATGTACGATGAATTTTATTCTATTTGCTTAAATTAATTGAGGTTTATTATTTCTATTTCATTGAAATGCAATCCAGATTCTAGGATCTAAAGATTTTCTGCTTTCTGGATTTACAGGATCCACTGGGCTGGCACTGAAACTGCAACGCAGTGGTGTGGCTATATGGACGGTGCGGTGCAAGCTGGCCAGCGAGCAGCTCTGGAGGTGCTGTCTGAAGTCTGCCATGTGGCTCTAACTGCAGAGGAGCAGGAAGCTCTGACCCAGGGTCAAACTATGAAGAGTACCCCAAATGAAGCCCTAATGTCTAAACTTCTCCATCAGCTCCCAAGCAAATCTTTGGTGATGGCTGCACTGACAATAAGTGCTGCTCTGTTGCTGGTTTGGAATCAGAATGTAGTGACTAAGGTCACATCCTACATGACATCTGCTCGTTAAACAGGCAGCCATGATTTAATGCTATTGTAAGAAAAACTTCAGGAGACATGTCTTTTCCAACTTGTGGACTTAACTAAAACTTAAGTGCACTCACGGTCCTGGGTTTTTTCAGGGACACAAATGTTGTGTCTTACAATCTCTGTAGCTTCAATTTGCACTGAAATTGAAATTGTATATTAATCTTTCAATGATTACCAAATTTTTTATTTCAAGACATTTATTCATGGTAGGTGAATTAAAATAAAAGGCAAAAAACTTAGCTTAAATGAGTTCTGGCAGGGATCTTAACCATTTAAATAAAACAACACACAACGCTTTAAACACTTTCTGCTTCTATTGATTATATTGGTTATGTATTTTGATTAGTTTTATGACATATCTACCTATTTTTCACTGCTTGTCAATCAGGGTCATGGGGGGCTGGTTGGTTCCTATCTCCAGCAGTCTATCTGGGCGGGGTCCACCCTGGAAAATTTGCAGCCCATCGCATGACAGAGGCACACAAACATCACACACACCATTACACCTAAGGGGAATTTAGAAACAACAGTTAACTTAAACCGTCACTGTACGAGTGAGAGGAAACCAGAGTACCCTGAGAGAACCTATGCATGCACAGGGAGAACCAGGAAATAGAGAGACCAGGTCAGGAATAGAACCCAGCACCTTCTTGCTTTAAAGAAACAGGGTTACAAACCGTTTATCTCTTGCATACTGTATTCAACTGTAAAGTGGTTTTGTAAACTGTTTTATTTTATGATTCCTTGCTCCTATTTTTGCTATAAAAAATGTAATACATTGTTACTTAATCTCAAAGTTGTTTAATTCTGCTTTATAAATGACCCAATAAATAATAATTCTGATGCACACACTGACTGTTCAATTGAAAACTTTTATAGCCAGGAAGTAAACACTAAAGAAATAGTAATTAAAACAGCAAAGTCACACTGACTACATTCTGTCTCTGCTCCACCCTCTGAGGGCCATTGTGCCATTAAACAGTTCAATTAAAATACAGCAGAAAAAATCAACCAGAATATTATTACATTTATGTACCATTTCTGCACTTTTACTGATCATTATTTTATACAGTAAACAGGATAATCCCACAATGTAATCTGATGATTTTTGCTATTTTATGCCAATCCTTCTCCTTCCTACTTTCATTCTCACAAGAATCAGCCAATATTAGTGGAACAGTCATTTATTTTTTTGGTTTTCGGTTTAAAAACTGTGAACTCAGGCTTATGAGAAGTGACTCTGATCTCTGCTGTGTCACACCTGGCTTTCAACCGTTTACAGTTCACCCTTGAAATTGTAGCTGGAAGACACATAGAGAACCAAATCATCAGCAAAAAAGCAAAGATGAAACTCCTCTCTGTTTCCCTCCTCTCCATGATAATGTACCAATATTGAATATAAATAAATAGCAAATACATCTACTCTTTTCATTCACCTTTTCTAAAAGGTGGTGATATCCCTATAGATCACACTGGCACCCTCTGCACCTGCTGGATGTCTCAGGAAAGCCATCTCTAATCAAGAAATCCAAAGCAGACCTGCCTGTGAAATTCAGATCACTAAAGTAGCAACTCTACAAGATGGCCAGGATTGAACTTGTATTTATGCCGGTAAATATATATAATAACAGACTTCTTATTTTCTAAAGCGGGACAACAGCTTGATCAGTCGTGTGTTTTGACTGTGTTAATTGTCTTTACGCAGGATGCTTTGCAACATTTGTCCTACACTGTTTATATCCCTAAAAGACTGTTTTCTTATGCTGCTGCACCACATCTATGGAATGCCCTCCCCTTGAGGGCACCTCAATACACCGAGTGTTTTAACAAAGGCCTTAAAACATTTTTAGCAAGTTTAGCTAAAAAGTTTAGCAAAAATTTTGGTCCCCTTTAAAATATATTTTTTTTTTTTCTCTTTTAAAACCTCTTTTTTTATTATTATATATTTTTTTGTCATTATTATTATTATTTTTTTTTTTTATGTATTTCTTTTTTAATGCGTTTCTTTTTTGTAGTACTTTGAGGTGTTTTTGAAGTGCAGTGCAGTGTAAATCAAATGTATTATTTATTATTATTTTCTCTCTTCAACAACAGACAAACCACAGCTTAGCCAGATCAAACTTGCCTTTCGCCTTAGTATTAACTCAGTTTAATAGTCTTCTTAAGTGGGATGAAGCCAATGCTAGGAAGAAGCTGGTTGTCGATTCTTTTTTATCATCAAAGCTCAGAGTTGGTTGTTCTCCCTGCTGAGGTCCATATTCAGTTCTGAGGTTAAAAGGCATTGTAGCTAAACCAAAAAAAAAAACGAGGGCAGTTCTGTCATGGTAGTCTTTTGTTGGCCAAGCTGATGAATCAAAAGTGACTCACCTTGAGTTGTTTTTTTTTTCCATTTGCCACCTTTTTTTTTTTCTAAATTTTTTCAAAAACCTTCACCTGACATTGGTTGGGGTGTGGGAGGTCACTGATAATGTCACGCAGCGCTAGGATGAAATGTCTTTAATGGATTGAAGAGGAGCTCCTATGATCCTCTCTGCTGTTTTCACCACTCTTCTCACATTCTTTCAGTCTGAGGCGCTGCAGCCTCCAAACCACACAATAGGCCTGCGTGCTGTGCTTTAAACTTTCAGATAGTGTCCAGAAACGTCCATTCTGCCTTTATTCAAATTAATGGTAATTTGAACTTTCTATGAAGTTAAGTAGTTCATAGACTTAGTTATTTTAGGTATAATTTTTGGTACTCGGTGAAGTCATTTGAGAAAAGGGAATTTATTTGACTTGTTTATGAGTACATTTTGCTTTAATAGCTACACAAAAAACATCTCTATTTCCTGTTGGACATATGGCATGACATGAGATTAGATGGAAGATTTATTCTTTAGATGTCAATCATCTTTTTAAGATATACGAGACTTACCATTTTCCTCTACAAACCTGATAGATTCCAGTCATTTAAAACAGATTAATGACATTTTTTTCATTGCTTCATCGCTTGAAATCTAACTCTGGAGTGTTTAAGTCCAGTCTTTTAAATGCATCTCTTCTCCAACAAAGTGTGACCAGAATAAGAGCCTGTCTTGACTGAAAAGTTACAGCATTGTAGCTCTCAAGGACTAATCTTTAGCAACGCTGCTTAAACCCAAGTATCTGTTTTTAAGCTTTTGAACATAACATTTACACTGAAATCTAAAAATCATGACAGTAATTTTTTTTGTTGTTTTATTTTTAGTATGCAAACATTTCATGAACCCTTAAGATCTGTTTGCATCGTGTTTAAACAGATTGCCAGGGAAACAAATGAGCCTGAGACGGCTTCCCAGATTGCCATAAAATCTGCATGAGTAGCTTGGAGTGGAGCCATGGGCCAGTTTGTGTGCCTTCAAAACACCAGCAGATACATATTCAAATGAGAGTAAGATGGATGGACTCGTCACAGGGTAATATCATCTTCAGCTAAGTAATTTAATCAATATCACAAGACTGCACAGTCGATTGACAGGATTTTTGTCAGCCCTTGCAGCTCCTCTAGAAAGCATCTGAAAAGCTCACTCATCACTATGACTCTATTGGAACCACAGCTTACTGTTGTTTTCACAGGTTTGAGCTGAGTGAAGTGAATGTTCATTGCTCACTGAAAGACAGCCACGATCCCTCAACATGTTTGCAGTGGTTTGCATGCAGCTGAAAAAACAAATAACAAACATCCAGTTTTTCTGAGTGGTCAGTACAAAGAGTAAGTTCAGAGATTCTAGTGAGAAGAAAGCATCAGTTTGATTTTTATATCATGTCTGCAGTCAGAGGCTTTCCAGTCAGTTGCTATTTTTTCATTAGATATGATGAACACAAAAGAAGGGTTGGGAGGTAAAGATTTACATGAATATTCGCTTCTCTTAAGGATCTTTAGGTCAAGTTCAGCTGGCCTGGCACTGTACAGTGCGCTCATAGCAGTAAACAAAAGAAACAAAGCAACTTTTAGATGTATGGAGGCAAGGGTCTCAGTAAAGTGATTTTTCTTGATGCTTAAAAGCCATTTATATTTTATTGTTTATTTATTTCACAGTTAAAAACAGCACCATAGCTTTTAGGCATAAAAAAAGACAAAAAGAAATTATTCATAACAAATTCTAAAGCGTTGTTTGTTGATCAGTTGAAGCTACTTAAGGTTGAATGCAGAAATTAATGTTTCATTCACTTTCAAAGGTCAAATTTTGTTATGTTACACAAGTTAGAAAACAACTGTGTAACATGCAGGTTTATGTGAAGTGTGTGCGTGTGTGTGTGTGGGGGGGTACGTGTGTGAGAGAGAGACAGTCTACACACACACACACACACATCTTGAGTAAGTTTTCTAAGTATCCTTGCTGTAATTACTTGGCCTGTGTAAACAGCAGCCAATGAACTTGTGTTATATTTTTGCCTTCAGGCAGCTTCAGCTTTAAAAATTCATACGTTGCAGTGGAGGATAATCAGTGTTTGTGACCGTAAACAGCTCTTTTAACAGCATACTGTACACCTGCAGCCAATTTAGTAAAAGCTGCAGATTTTTCTTTTGTGGTAATTTTTTTTCTATTATTATTTCTTTGTTGTTTTCTTTTTACTTTAATGTCTTTAATCTTCTTAACTTAGTCTCATCTAAAAAATCTTGAAAATATTTAGGACTTTTTTGTGTGTGTGTCTATTTATGCCATCAGATAAATGCTAATTAGATAGTATCTACAGTGGCAATGTGTTAAGATGTGTAACCTTGGTGTAACAGGAAGCAGTACTATGAAAGACTTTCATACATGCCAGACTCTTCCTAAAAAATGGCTTTAGGCCACATTCAAAATTTGCCCTTGGCTGGTCCTTAGCTGGTCCCCAACAATTCATTTTTAAACATCAATTTTTGTACTAAAAGATTATTTCTGTCATGATTTGTAAACATTAGGATCTAAAGAGAAGCATCATCTCCTGGTCATACAGAGTAATTGAATGATAAATATGCATGCCCAGGAGAAGGCCAGTGGCTGGAAGTTGTAGGGGATTTTCCTGGGAGTTGCAGGGAAGTGGGCTGCCTTTCGGCTGGCATTTGACTGGGAAGGGCCATTTTGAATTGCTGATAATATATATTGCTGCTCTGTCCCTCATGGCT